CCCTGCACAGCCCTTGGATCTGCACTTGACCCTTCCCAATTCAAACTTTTATCACCCCTAACAACTTCTCCCATTTCCCCCAGCCAAGCCAAACACACAAGAAAGTACATCTTACCTTCCATCTAACTCTCTTACTGCATCAGCTGCATCTCGTGGGTCTTCAAACTCCACAAAGGCAAAGCCAGGAGGGTTTCTTGCCACCCACACACTGCGCAGAGGTCCATAGTAGCCGAAGGCTCTTTCTAACTCAGTTTTGTTGCCATTGTTCCCAAGGTTACCCACATAAACCTTGCAGTCCAGCGGACAAGAGTCACGATGCATCGCTAGGACAGAGAAAGAGAGGCAGATTTAACACACAGCACGTGCTCATGCACTCCCAAGGGAAGTTTTCTCATGGCTGCTTCCTTCTGAAACTTCCAGCACTGACAGGATGTATTCCCACACACAAAATGAAAGTATTTCCGCATAAAAAAAAAAAGAACTAATTACCATAAATAAACTTATATAATATAGTGTATATTTCCATATATAATCTGTGTGGAAAGGGGAGTGTTCAAAGCAATCCAAGAAGCGAGTTGCATGTCACACTGTGATCAAAATTCACTCTTTAAGGGCATTTTGGTGAATTTAGGGTCAATAACACTCGGGAGGGATTCGCTGCCTCTCCCTGGGGGGAGAGCGGAGTGGTCAAACCGGACCAAAAAGCGAGCTGCACGTCTCACTGCGATCAAAATTCACTCTTTCAGGCCATTTTGGTGACTTTAGGGTCAATAACCCTGGAGGATTTTGCTACCTCTCCAGGGAGGAGAGGCAGTGGAGGGAAGAGTGTTCAAACCGAACCAAAAAGCGAATCGCACATCTAAATGCGACCAAAATTCACTCTTTAAGGCCATTTTGGTGACTTTACGGTCACCAACCCTTGGGGGGGGTCGCTGCCTCTCCCTGCTTGGCGCGGGGGGGAACTGCAGGGGGCGCTGCGCAGGGGAGGCTCCATTGTTCCCAGGCAGGAATGGGATTGGGATCGGGAACGGGATCAGGATCCGCAAGCGGAGCGGGGGAAGCACCATCCCTACCGGCAGCGCC